GACAAATTTTGAATTAATTAAAAATATTTAATTATTTGTTTGATATAAAAAATTTAGCAATTATATATGTAATGAAAAATATATTATTCTCAATCAATACGATAGAAATATTGGATCAATATGAAAATTTTCATGCACAATGGATACGATTATATTGTTAAATTCAATGATCGGTTTGTTAAAATATTACTCATACAATAAATTTATATAATAATGTAAAACTTATTAGTTTTAGAATGAAATAACTAGTCCTATCCCCCCTCGCTCTCTCTCTCTCTCTCTCTCTCTCTCTCTCTCTCTCTCTCTCTCTCTCTCTCTCTCTCTCTCTCTCTCTCTCTATATATTATATATATATATATATATATATATATATATATACTCTTAATGATCGAGTCAAAAATTTTATTTAATGGGGGTTTGGTTCAAATATATTAAATTATAAAAAAAAACAGTAATAATAACATAATAGTACTAAAAAAAACTAAAACTTCCATATTAGTAATAATTAGTAAAAATTTTACAATTATTCTTGATGCAGTTTTATATTTTGAAAATATTGTATAACAGTTTTGTTATTAATACTTTTGAATACATTTTTTCAATGTATATAATTAAGATATCATTCAACCATTGGCCTTTCATTCGATTATGCAAACGAATTTTCAAAATATTTATTTCTGAAAATGTTTTTTTTTTTAACTATGATAGTGATAATTGATAGAATCAATGCTAACTTTTTTTTACATGGAATGGATATAGAATCAATTGCTAGTTTCAACAATAAATAAATTGTATCAATGAAAACTATTTAAACTTTATCTAAAACACATAATTTTAAAAAATTTTGTCACTAATCCCACTAAGGAACTATTTGGATGGACAGTAAGAATAGTTTTAGTAAGATTAAAGATAGTGGGAGCTTTGAAATTAGTTATTGTTGTAATGAGATTAGATATTATAATAATAAGATTAAAATTATTAATAAGATATGTATTTAGATGCAAACGCAACGATAAAGGTGAGATAAAATATAGTAAAAAAAATTATCATTATAAATATTAGATTAAAGCCAATATATAATAAATTTTATAATATTTGGCATTTATAAAGTTAACAAATAATTGAAATTTAATATTATTGTTTTTATACCAAAATAATAATTATTTTTAGTTTCAAATAAATTTTTTAAAAAATAAAAGAATGAACAAAATGAAAAAAAAAAAAAGGCTTGAGTGCACTGTAGTTTCAAAAGTAAAAATAAAATAAAATAAAATAGAGTCTTTTGTGGAAAATGAAACTGTGGTGAGAATGAAAATTTTCACTAAAATTTTCACCTGACCCCCTTCCCTGCAGTGAAAATTTTGAGGCACGATGGAATTTTTTTTTTTTTTTCAATCACAATGATAATATGGCATCCAAACAACTTATCGTGGTGCATAGCTAAAAAAAAGTTGGAATCCAAAAAAACTAAAGGCTTATTTAGCATTGAGGTCTAGAAGTGATTTTGACTAGAAAAAACTCGTTTCCATAGCGACATCAATACTAAACAGGATAAAAAATCTGAGCTTTGCAGTAAAAAAGTATGGTTTTACAAACCAAACACAAAAGCTCTTTGAAAGTGTGGTTGAGGTTGAAAAGCACTTTTAAAAGGTATAATTATATTTTTATTTTTGTAACTTTAAATTTATATTATTTTATACATATTTTTTTTTAAACATTTCAATACATCAACAATATTTTTTTTACAATAATATTAAACATTTAAAATTTTTAAATCATATTTTTCTAATCACATTTTTAAAACTCACTTTTTTAAACCAATTTTTTTCAAATTGCAACAAAAATGCTAATTTAGGCCTAAATAAATATATTACAGTAAATGCTAATCATGGTGTTAGATCAAACAATCTATGAAAGTATATTTCTTTTAAGTGAAAGGCTTGATTGCTTAGGGTTCAGCTATCTTTGCATAGTCTGTCAAACACCAAACCTATTTCCTCCCTTTTTCTCTTTCCTGGCAGAATCCGACCAGCTGGAGTTGCCACCAAACTCTACATGAAATTCGATCTTGAGAGTTGAGACACCCGGTCTCACCTTTGGCTTCATAAAGGACTCCCACATCACACACAAAAAAAAAAAAGTATATAAACCATGGTCTCTTTCTTCAGTTCAAGCAAGAAAAAGTAATGAAGAATTCCAAATGGCACTTAACAAGGTCAAGCAGATCGCTTCCTCCACTCCATCTGTTTTCTTCAGGTATTGGTTACACGGTAGAATCACAATCCAATTTATATTCTGCGGGGATGGATTTGATTAATAATGAATGCTGCTATTGCTAGGGCTAATGTTTTGTTAATCTAAACTAACTTCTTTGCAGTAAAACCTATTGTGGTCATTGCAATAGGGTTAAGCGGCTGTTTACGCAGTTAGGAGCTTCTTACGAGACCATTGAATTGAATGAAGAAAGTAAGGCAACTGTTTCTTAAACAACAATTAACCACATTGAAGTCAGTTTTTTCATATATTTGAGCCTCACTGAGGAAATTATGTGAGTTTTTTTTTTTTTTTTAAAGGTGATAATGATGTAATGCAATCAGCTCTGACTGTGTGGAATGGGCAGAGGACAGTATCTAATGTGTTCATTGGAGGAACACGTATTGGTGGCTGTGATTGTAAGCCCAATTCGGCAATTTCTACAATTACCCTTTAATTGCTATCACCATTTGTTGGTTATGTCATGAGTATTAGTTTTGACGTTTAATTCTTAATCCTGAATTCAGTCATGAACCTCATTTTGTTAAATGACATCTTTTACTAATTGCAGCTGTTGTGGCCAAGCATCAAGCAGGTCAGCTTGTGATGTTAACCTACTCACAAATGCTGGTTCATTAGCGTGAAACTTGAGACCATACCTTGCTACAGAGAATAAACTCATTTCCGATGAAACCATAGTAGACTGACTTTCTAATGGTTTTCAATCGATAATATTTGTAACAATGGTATGAAACAGTCTCTGATATTCTTGCTATCTTCTGAATTTCTCAGACTGTACAAGCTACTATACATTTGGGGCTGCATTTTGTTAATTTGGGTAACTTATTATTCCAGTTCACTGGGTTCCAAAAGAAATTGTTTCGATTTTGATCGAACATTATATTCATGAAAGTAAAACTTTAGAATCCAGGGATTTACAGATGAACAACAATCAACGCAATGAAACAAGACAGAAACCAAAAGGCTAGACGGTGTATATTTTTCCCATATAATAAGAAGAAGAGACTCTATGCAAAAGGAGAAAGAAACATAGTTGAAGGGCCCATGATAGAGGCTCGATCATGATTCCGTCTGTGATTACAAGGCAAACACTTTCTTTGTTTGGTATATTCAACTATTGCATTGTTGCAAGGTGATCCCACCAAGTTCCTTTGAAGTTCAGAGCAGCCAGCTTCCAATACTTCAACATGGAACCACTGTCTTATTGTAGTGGAAAAAAATCCCAATTTTTCAGAAAAGTTTCCAGCTTCCAGAGCTTTATATTGAACGAGGATGGCAATAAAAAGTGAGAGAAAGGACCGGCGATGGCGAATGTGAGTGAGAGAAAGGAAGGCTAGTGGCGAGTTGGTGATAAGCAGAGATTTAAATAGTGATCGCGGTTACATTTTTTATTGCATCATGTTTATCACATTTTTGGATATAACGAAGACTATTATGGTCGTCGAATTCATTGTGATCATAAATTTTTTTTTTAATTTTACACAATTTGTTATAAAATATAATAATTATAATTATAATAATAAAAACTCTTATTTAATGATTTTTAAAATAATTTATGACACTATGTTTTTTATTTTTTAAAAAAACCATTCACTATTTTATTTAGATTATAATAAAGCGTTCATATTTGGTTTAGCAATAAATTTTTTACTTTAGCGAAGTTCATATTCAATATTAATTTTAGACAAATCAAAATATTAGCAAAACATAATATGTTAAATACCAAGTATCTATATTTAACAAAATTATAAATTTAAAAATCTAATAATTTCAAATTCCATCAACAATATTTATTAACATATATTTCAAAGTTTAGCACAATGTATAATGATAAGGAGGATCAAATTCTTTATTTTTACTTTGAGAGCCAAGTTGACTCCATCCCCATCTTTGTGGCATTTGTTTTTGATACATTTAAGGTGGATGATATATTTGTGGTGGGAGATACATTTGTGGTAAAAGATACATTTGTGGTGGATAATAACTACATAGAGATGGATAACCATAAGGAGGTTGAAAATTAGATTGTGTCGATGGATAGTAACATCCTTGAGTACTAAAAGGTGATTCACTATACTCAAAGTTACTAGAATTTGATCTCCTACTTGAAGATGAAAAAACTCTAGAAATATCATAGTAGTGCTTCTTGCCTTTTCTTTTTGACAGAACTATACATGCACTTTGACCTTCACTAGATTCTGCAAATAGATTTATTCTATATTATGCCATGTTAATGAAAAGTCCACTAGTAGCAGCAAGCCTAAGTTCTCTTCAAAATGGGTTGTAAAGTTGATTTGCATCCATATTACCACCAAAATTTGCACCATCACCATCACCATTACCATCATCATCATCTAGACTTAAACCCCCACCATCATCACACATTCTTTTTTTTAGATTGGAGTGATTGTTCAATATTCATTTCATTATTAGAATTATCTACAGGCAACCAATCAAAGTTTTGACCATCTAACAAAGGATTTTCTTTCTTTTGCAACCATTATAGTTAGTGGATCATCATCTTCAAAAATATAGTCAAGGCTAATAGGATTAAAACTATTATTTATCTCATCAATGCTCATTAATTTTTTATGTCTCATCCTCAGCCTCATGTTATAATAGGTATATACAAGTTTCTGAAGTCTTTCAAACTTCAATTTGTTTCTTGCTTTCGTGTGAATATAGCTAAATGTGCTTTAATTACGTTCACAATTTGATACAAATGCTATTTAACTAAGCACTTTGATTGCTAGTTTTTGTAATTCAGGAATACAAGTGTCATATATTATTCACCACTTAGCTATATAAAATTATTTCAATTAAATTTGAATGTGTTATACAATTAAATAATATAAATAACTATAATTATTTAATTTACTATTTACCTGGATTCATTTACTTCAAAGCTCTTTGTTCTTGTGGAGTACCAAATATTTCATGCTTGTCTCGAAATAATAGCAACTACATTAATTGAAAATACAATAATAAATAAATAAATAATTCTATTTTTAATACATAAAATAAATATCAAAGTTATAAAATAATATTAAATGCTAACTTGATTAATCATTTGATTTGAGTATCTATAAAAAGTTTTAATCTTTCAATAACTATTTTTGTACCATTTAATGTTTCTTTAAGTACATTTGCAGAATACTCCACTTCAAATTGAAATCATGGATGTAAATAGGAACCTAAACATAATTCATAATAATATTATATTAAAGTAATAAAAAATAAATATATAAGCAATTTAAGCATAAAAAATAAATAGATATTTTAAATACAATCTATATTTTTTATTTACTTACCAACTGAATGTAAGTTAGAATGCATAAAACTCTATATGTTATCAATAATCTTTTTATATTTAGCATAATAATGATAATTTTGTTGAATTGCTTGTTTAGCTCTATCCATTGCCTCGTAAATAAATCCTATTATTGGTTTTTCATCACCATCCACAAGACGTAATACTTTTACCAAATGCTCATAAACTTTTATTATATCGTTTGCTTTTTTTCAAAAATCTTTTTCCAAAATGATTTTTTTTAGCTTCATAAGCAAGCCATGATTTTTGTTATCTTCATTTTGATTCTTTAAATTCCTATATATTCATTAATAAATTTTTAAAGTAATATATTTTAAATTAGTATTTTAAACAATGATATCATAAAAAGATACTAGATTTAAGTTATTGTACTAATTACTAAGTCTTAACTTTTGAGTTGAACATCTCTCTCAAACCTTACATTAGCCTCGTTGTTTCTTCTAATTGTATGAAATGAGTGGCAAATCAGGTAAGAGTAAGATAAAGTATTTGCTTCTCTTGTGTATATTTCTTCATTAAATTAACAGTCCAAAAGTGATTATATATAAAACAAATCATTTCCTTTGCATCATCCAAAACTTTTGTCATATTTTTTCTTATCAATATTCTCAAGGCACAAGTTTAAACAATAAGCTGAACATGCTGTCCAATATAAATGTTGTCTCTTCTCCATTAGTCTTTTTCTGCAACCTTAAGTGCTGGTTCATTATCAGTGACTATTCGAACAATGTATTTTTTTTCAATTTCTTTCACAGCTTCATCTAATAAACTATAGTAAAAGTTTGCATCTTTACTACGAACACTTGAGACATCTATAGATTTCCAAAAAATTGTCTATTTACTTCAGTAAACAAGAAAATTAATGATATGCATTTGATTCAAGCTGATGGTCCAACCATCACACATTAAAATGATACCCAATTCATTCCAATGATTTTTTAATCCATTAACCCATTCATAAATTTATTGATATTTAGACTCTAAATATACATCTAAGACCTCATAAGGAGTTAAAAGTTTCACATGTTGGCCAACTTATGCTGTTATAGAAATCAAAGTATGCAACCATGGAGAGTTTGTTACCTAAAAAGAAAATCAATCATATATCAAAATTTTGATATTGATTCACCTATATTCTTTTTTAATCTCTTTAAAAATAAATCACTTATTTTTTGTTGCTTTGAACTCTTACTTCTAACCAATTCAGGTATAGCTCCTCTTAATGAAAATTCAAAATCATTTGGAGTTGATTTCCTTGTTCTTTCCTTAAAATATTCAGCAACTGAACCATAAGAGCTTTGTTCCTCTTCATGTATGTTACTCCAAATACCAATTCTTTGTTTAAATTCTTATCTTTTATACCACTCATATTATGATTGGATACTATTTCGCATGGCTAGTTTAGTAGTGATGTCTTCATCAATAAATCTTTCATAGTCATAGTCTTCCCCTCTTAGTTATGATAAGAATTTATCATTTCTCCTTTTGTTATAAACTTTCTTTTATTTGCTTTCTTGAAGAAGTTTCATCATACTTTCTCTTAATATACCTATTAATAATATGTTAAGAAAAAGGAGAAAAATCAATTGCACATGCTTATGTAATTTTATAATTTTTATTGAGAAATTAATAATAATATTTTCAAATTAATTATAAAAACAAAACATACTAGCAACGTTGGGGCATGATGCAATATTATCAGTTTTATGAGCAATGTGTTCCTTGAAATGTGTTATTCCTCCTTTTGCAACTTTACCACAAAGTTTGCATGAAACATTTCCTTTAATATTTAGCATTGGTATTCCAAAATGTCAACCTATATCATCACTTGACATGCCCTCTACTTCTTTGCTCTGGAACTCTTTACGTTGTGGCATGGTTGCTATTTTGTATAAAAACAAAATAAACCTATATTTAAAAATATTAATATTACTTATTTCATCATTAAAAATTGAATCTACATTAAATTTTTTAATTTTTAGTTTTTAATCTTAAGAGTAATAGATTGTAAAACGCTAAATTTATCAAGTAATTTAATCTTTTTTTATATATTACTTTCAATATATTATATAATAAATAGAATCTTCAATAATTACACAAAAATAATAATAATTAATAAGAATTAATTTAATAACAAAGAAATTGACAAAAAAAAAAAACCAAAACAACAAAAAAATTATTAAATTTCAAATACAAAATCATAAATTAACAAATAACAAAATCAAAATATAATATTTAATTTTAATTATTTTTCTTTTAACTTATACAAAAAAATTTATTAAAATTTTTCATGTAAAATTCCTATATATATCATATTGAATTATTAATCTCTTAATTTTTTTCAATTATAAATCCTCAATCCCACTAATTAGATTTTATCTAAAAAAATTTTTAAAATTACAAAATTTTAAACTTATATTTTAATAAAATTAATTATAAAATTAAATAAAAAACCTGCCCCACCCCCACGCACTTGTCCCACTTCAACACCTTCCCCCTTAAAACAAAAAATTTTCCCCTAAATTTTGGTTACCAAAATCCCTCATCTTCAAACTTCTTCATGACCTTGTCACCTCGAGCGTTTTTCAAGTCAACCAAACTTATTCAAATCTTTTTCTTCTTCCCTTTTTTGATGCATCTCTCACTCTCTCTTGCATACCCTCATCAATGTCACTGCTTACAAAGTATCTCAATCTCGTCTCTGTTAGATTCTCATAAAGATCAACATTATTGTATAAAAATTTTATAAAAAAAAAGTAATTTAACTTTCTCTTAAGTAACTTAATCTTTTTGATACATTAATTGATGTAAAAAAAAAATTTATCACAAATATATAATAAATAAAATCTTCAATAATTACAAAAAATTAATAAAAATTAATTTAATAGCAAAAAAATTGACAATAATATAAATTCCAAAACAACAAAAAAATTATTAAATTTCAAAACAAAATCATAAATTAATAAATAACAAAATTAAAATATAATATTTAATTTTAATTATTTTTCATCTAACTTATACAAAAAATTTTATTAAAAATTTTCATCTAAAATCCCTATATATATCATATTAAATTATTAATCTCTTAATTTTGTTAATTATAAATCCCCAATCCTTCAAATTAGATTTTATCTAAAAAAATTTTTAAAATTAAAAATTTTAACTTATATTTTAATAAAATTAATTACAAAATTAAAAAAAAAAAAACCCCACCCTTTGCACCTGTCGCACACCAACAGCCTTTTCCCACTTAAATTTCCCTAAATTTTGGTTACCAAAATCCTTCATCTTCAAACTTCTTCATGGCCTCATTGCCTCAAGCCTCATCCAACCTTATTTAGGTCTTCTTTTTCTTCCCTTTTTTTCTGCATCTATCACTTTCTTTCGCTTACCCTCGTCAATATCAATACCTACAAAGTACCTCAACCTCATCTCTCTCAGATTATCACAAAAATCAATATTATTCTACATAAATTTTACAAGAAAGAAAGGTAATTTTACAAGAAAGAAACGTAATTTAACTTTCTTTTACCTGTTTTGATCTTAAATGTTGATTGAGGACTTGAAGCAGATATGAATTTGGGTAATTTGCGCATTGAGTTAGGATTACTATTGATTGAATGGTTGATAAATGATTTGATAATATTTTCTAACTTTTTTAGATTGATTTTGAAACTAAAAGTCTAAGACTAAGTTATTTTTTTGCTTTTGTTTTTGCTTTTGCTTTCGCAGTCTTAATTGCTTTATTTTGATTCTTTGGATTCTTGGCAGATTATGTTGAAATTTTTTTTTTTTTTAATTTGAACTGATGATGGGGAAAATGAGGATAGCAATAATAATAAACTGTTATTGTCGTTATTCCCCACTATATTATATTTTAGCTATTGCTACATACCGTTTTAAGTGTAATTAAAATTTTCAACCACATTTTTCCCAATAATGATGGCAAGTGGCAGTGCAACTGTGATTTCGCGACTTTTATTCCACTATAAAACCTCTATTTGAAACTATGGTGACAAGGAGTACGGAATCGGGATATAGAGTTTAAGTTTGTAAGGTTCATAGAGAAATAAGCATAAAGTTGAAGTTTGAAAGGTCTAAAGAGAAATAAGTATAGTTATTAGAACTGAATTAGACATTAAACCATTCAAGATCTCGTATCATTGGGTTAATAGTTTAACAACCTAGTCAATTGAGTTAATTATTGGTTCAATAAAAAATATTATAAAAAAATATAAATATTTTAAAAAGTCACAATTCAAACTTTTAATTCAAGTTATAATTTAATAATTCAACCATAAAACTATAAATTTTAAGATAAATCATAAACTACAATTTTTAAAATATAAAATTCATAAAACAATTAATTATTAGTTAAAAATGAAATTACTTAACATTTTTTTAAAATTATATTTTCTATTTTAATAGTTAGAAATAATATTTATATTTTAATAAATATAATAAATAATAACTAATAAATAATTATAAATAATAATTAATTTTTATATTTATTAAAATATAAATATTATTTATTAATATATAATAATTAATCTTTATGTAATAAAAAAGAAATATCTATATATAAAATTAACAAAAAGGAATATTTATATTTATATAAAAATTAGTAAAAAGAAAATTAAAATCATTTTGATATTTTTAATATGAATGTATATTTTTTTATTAATTTTACATATACACATTTTCTTTTATTTATTATTTTCAATCATGGTCAAATAATTAATCATTTTTATTAACGTTTTATTTTTATTAATTTTGTATATTATTATTTTATAATTATTTTCAATTATGGTATCAATTAAATTTTTTGTTAGATACTTTTCTTTTGAAAATTGCTTATTTTTACACATGCGTAAGTTTTTTTATAGTGTCATTATCCACATGTCTCAAAATATGTCAACATATATTTAATATAAATATAAAAAGATTTTGATAGTAGAAAATAAGTCTTATTTAGATGAAATAATAGTATAAGAGCTTAATTAGATTATTTTAAATACTTGAAAGAATATTTTCATATTTTACCTAAACTTATTAGTTGATATTGAATCAATTTGATTAAAAAAATTGTTCAATTTACTGATTTATTATGTAAATTGCTTGTTCACAACGATTCAAAATGATTTAATTGTAAAACTGATCTAATTACATAATCGAACTGGTTTCAATATTGGTTCATCAGTTCAACAATTGGACCAACAATCCAATCCAATTTTTATAACTATGGAAATAAGATATGTATACGGTTGGAGAAAAAAAATTGAAAGTGAGAAAGGGTTAAGGCAATAGGAATATTAGGGTAAAAAGTAAATAAGTATTATTATTATTATTATTATTATTGTTGTTGTTGTTATTGTTATCAATTAATAAATGAATAATAAACGAAAGAGTTTTAAACAAATCTTAAATGAGTTTTTTTATGAATATAAACTAACCATACATATCTTTATTTATATTCAGTTCATTTAATAAACAAACATAAAAATATTATTTAAAATCATTTGTTAAAATTAAAAAAATGAATATAAACAAACAAAAATCAAACATATTTACCAATAATTTATCAAAAGCTCTATTTACTTACCCCCGAACTCCCATTACGTACACTCAGGATTACATAAATTTTATTTTAAAATATAAATTACTTATAATTTCTATTTTAATAAAAAATATATTTACCTAATTTATTTGAAAATTTAGTTTTAATTATTTTTAATAAAAATGTAATAATTAATGAGCAACATATCTATGTTTTTTTTAAATTATTTATCTACATTTTTTTAATAAAATAGATAAATAACATATCTATATTTATCTATGTTTTAATTATTTGAAATTAAAATTTATTTAATAGACTTTTTATTTAATTGTTTAATTATTCCAAAAAAATATTGTGTTTTATTTCTTAAATAAATATTTTTATTATTTAATTATTCAATTGTTTTTTAATCTTACTCTTCTTACAAATTTATAATTTGATAAATTTAATTTATACACAAAATAAATAAATTAAAAAAATTAAAAAATGGATTAGAAAAATATTTAAATTATTATTATTTACCCAAGTTTATGGCATTTTCTATGTGAATTGGGTTTGTTTTCTGATTATTACTTGCAAAAAATGAAACTATCGAATTGTGTATTTCCTTCGTTAAATTTAGGATATTTTATTCTTTTTAATATTTATATTTTAAATTTTTTATTAAGGGTAAAATTATCATTATATAATATGAAAGAAGTAAAACAATCATTGCCTAATATTTGACACTTATCAACAATTTTTTTATTATTTACATTTTAGCTTATGTTTTAATTAAAGGTAAAGTGATCATTATATAACGTGAAAGGGGTTAACACGTCATTACTTAATATTAATCACTTATCAACAATTAAACCCAATTAAACCCCTTCAAGGATAGTTTTAATATATAGGCATAGATGTTTACCTGGATTGGGCAACAACAACATCCCTTATTCCGGGGTTGACTACATAACAACATATTAAATATGTTTTATTGTAGTAGAAAGAAATCCCAAAATTTCAAAATAGATATCCAGTTTTCAGAGCCCAGAGCTTTATTGTACTATTGTCTTTTCTTTCACTTTCTGCATTGAAGAAGAGAAGATATCAGAAGAAGTTCAACCCCATAAATGAAGCTAGAGGAAAGTAGGTTTCACTTACGTTGGAGATGTCTATCCATGAATTAAGTGTGTTTAGAGCTTTTCCCGATAATTGTGTCTCACGAGCCAAAGCTACTCCTTCAGCAAGGGACTTCACACGGCCACTGACTAGAAGAGCTGCTGCTGCATTAAGAATCTGAAGATTTTGCTATTGTCTTAGAATCATTTCATGATTACAGACTTCTAATTATCCAGAAAAGGAATACAGACATGGAATGCACATGCAAAGAGAGAACAGAAACAAAAGAAGTGGTTTAGGGTGCAATACAAGTGCATCTGCAATGGGCCCTTTTTCCCCTGAGAGTATGTGCTTCAATACATCGGCATTGTACCCCGGTCCACCACCTCGCAGGTCATCTAGCGTACAACGTGGAACACCGAATTCCACTGTCCAATAAACATTCTCATTGTCTTAGCACTTTAAAGTATGAATAAACATTCTCATTTTCTAAGCACTTTAAAGTATGAATACAGCAGTGTAAAATCGTTTCTGCCATTCAATACCATGATATCTTACACATCCAACAAGGACTCAACTTCACTTCAATGGTACAACTATTCTCTAGTCTCAAAAAAGGATGAATTACTAACAAGATCTTACACGGATCAAATGAGAACTTCTCAATTTTCTCTGGAGTAACATCAAGGATTCGCCCAGGCCCTGTATAGATATGTTGTGAGATTGTAATGATTTAGACCCACAAACGGGAATTAGAAAGTGAAAAAGTTTGCGAGTAAAGATGACATGATCTGATGATAGTGTCAAGGGAAAAAAGTAATGAAATGAAGCGTACCAAGGGGACTCATTTCATCTAAACCCTCTGAGTGCACAACTAAGGCTCGTTTCATGCCAAACCGTTGAAGTGCTTTAGCCATTTTGAAAACCTATCTCAAAAAGTTAGAACTCATCTCAGTATTGAATTAAAGGAACAAACTATCAAATTACATAGCAAAGCAAGTGCTTTATTATATATGCAATTCTTTTGTGCAAGTCAGACAGTTAAACAGAAGATTGCATGTAATAGACCCACGCATCATAGTTTGAGGTGGAATCTAGAAGACTATAGTGCCACTGACATGTTGAGTGTGCAACCAACTATGCATGTCTTACTATTTTCTCTTAGTGATATTGGTAATTACCTTTTATTTTCTGTAAAGTTTGTGGACACAATCTTGGTTATAATATCTGCTACACCAGTTAGGGTTGGATTTATATCTACGTGTTCTCAAGGTTCCATTGAGGATCCAAACATAGATACATTTTGGAAGAGTTTAAGCCCCTCATTCCCCTTTACCCTTCATCACCATTGGGCAGAAACCCTAAATTCTCCAATGCCCTCTTTCTCCGCTTTCCAAAGCTTTGATTAGTGTTGAGCAAGAAAGCTCAATTTCTATAAGAGATTGTTTCACGTACATTTTTGCCTCAATGCAGTTTGCATTCACTTCTATTAAACTGTTTATTTTGAAAGAACATATATATGAAAGATAAGTTTCGCTTTTGTAAAACAGAGAATTGATATATTGTACAGCACATCCTTCTTACAGTTAGGCTCAGTGATCTTCAGTCTGAACATAAAGAGATTGATGTTGAAACACAGGGTGTGAGCAACAAAAATCATATATACAGGAGTGCATTTTCAAAATATAATACAAGGAACATTGGGGGCAACCTCAATAATACGCATCTCTTTAATCAAATGTTAATCAAACAAACAAAGAGCAAGACATGGTACTAATTGCAAAATCAAGGTATATTCTTGCAGTTCGCATGATTGAAAACTACATTATTTTAGAACCTAAAATGAACTTACTCTAAGATGCTTTATCATATATCATTTTAGTTGAATATCAACAAATGGCCAGCTTATTATAACATTAACAAAGAACCTTTGAACCTAACAAAGGAAAATTGGCAACTAATAGTTTCATTTATAAGGATATGAATTGAGGGTTGCCAAAAGAATGACATTTTAGCTAAGAAGGTTTGACGTCAACCCCGTATGATGTTCAAGCCAGCATAGATGGCAGCTAACAACCTAAAACCTCCAATTTATCCACATAATAACTCCCAATCCAGCAATCGAATCACAATTCAGGGATAGGAAAAGGGAAGGAAATGGGTCGGTCATTACTAAAATGAGGTCTGAAAGGAGTGGTAAAGAAAGTCTGTTTTACAGAATCTCAGAAATGGAAATGGACTCATAGTTAAGTCATATGGAACTAGGAATTGACAACTAGGCCCTAAAATGCAAATTTATAGCATCACTGTAAAGGTAGACGATTTGAAATCAGTAGTGCACACAGCCAAGGACAATATCAAAGAAATTATCAGGAATAGTAACTCAAAAGGGAATAAAAAACTGATTATTTTGGTACATTAAAAAATCAAAATTTTAGAAATTTTCCCTTTCTTTCATATCAGATTTTAGGGTGGGGAGGGAGAGAGCATGATACATTTACTAATGCTACAAGGCGTTGAGAACACTTACTAGATCTTCAGTGTAAACACCAACAACAGCGAAAGGTACTCTTGCAGGGTTCAACATAGGGCCCAATATATTGAACACAGTTTTAATCTTTAGCTTCTTTCTAACAGGGCTCACAATCTTCATTGCCGGGTGGTACTTTGGTGCCATCATGAAACCAATTCCAGCTTCATTCACACAGCTCATTACTCCCTTTAAAACAAAAGGAGAAAAGGAAAAAAATGGATCAATGCCGGAATAAGATCTATAGAGGGTTATATTTATTATATTTGGTACACATTTTACATTCATTTAATTGAGTGGGCCAGCAAGTGAACCCTTCTATTTTCCACTTACATATAGTTGAAAATACATGTCAAAAAAAGCCAAACAAAACATGGATACCATATCAGAATAAGTCATATATGATATAATCACGACTAAAATGTCATAATGTAAACTATTGAAGCCCACACAAAGTTTTGGTAGAAGTAATAGTAAACATCCTTTACGTAAAACCTTCAGTCTGTACTATGAGACGCAGAATATGAAATGTTAGGAAATAGGAAGGATGAGTCTTCATAAATTCTCAACATCAGGCCACACCAAATATTAACCAATTGGACCCAAAGATTGAAAGCATAACTCTATAACTAAACATTTTCATTTCATAAAGAACAAACAGCATTCAAACTGAATGCCTAGCAGGAGCAACATGTAATTTGGTAGAACCAACATGATGGCTAAATGGGCAATAGCAGGTTGTTCTATTAAAAATTTTGAAAAGGCACAAAAGAGCAGCATGTAATTAGGTATAACCAACATGATGGGATATTGCAAATTGGGCATTCTATTAGTATTCCATATTAGAACTAACAGGGTTATCCACCTATTAAGAACTGGCAGCAGTTACTACTGCAAGTAAGTGAAGTTTACCACACCCAAAAGATCAAAATTCCTATGAAAATGTGATGTAGGACAAGTAGGGAGAAGAGACAGAATATAGAAATTTAAGGAGAAAGTTAGAAACAGACAAGAACGATTAGAGAGGAACAGAGGAAATTCAGGGAGAAGACAGATTGAATAAATAGAGGGGAAAATCTCAATATCTCAACATCTCAATAACTCAATATTCAGCATCTAAAACCTAATTGAAACTAAATAACATAGGTATTTATAACTAAACCCAAAACCCTAATACACCGCAAAATACCAATACTAACACAAAAGCCCTAATATTTGAAAACTAACTCAAAATACTATATTATAAAATAACCTACGAAAGGATTACAATCATACATGTAGAACATAAAATAAAGTCATAGATAGTATAATCCCTCAACTAATATATTTGCATTCTCCAAAAAAATATTTTTAAAACTCATTAAGAAACTAGAATAGCAAAACATTACTTTCAACACTTTCCATCTTGTGATGCTGAATATGAAATAATAGGAAATAGTAAGGATAAGTATTCATAAATTCTCAACAGCAGACCACACTAAATGTAAACACTCAAAGATTGAAATCATAACTCTATAAAAACACATTTCCATTTCATAAAAGAACAAACAGCATTCACACTGAAAGCCAAACAGGAGCAATATGTAATTTGGTAGAACCAACATAATGGGCAAATGGGCTTTGTTTTGCAATTATATTAAAATAGCAAGTTGTTCTATCAAAAATTTTGAAAAGGGAAAAAAGAGCAACATGTAATAAGGTATAACCAACATGATGGGATATTGAGCACTCTTATTAGAATTCTACGAGCCCAAGGTACCCACTTGTTGCCGCTGTATACTACATTCGTTTCCATTTTTTTAACATTAGTTAAAATTAAAATGATTTTAAAATATTCAAAACTTAAATATAAGTAATAAAAAAATTATTTCTTTAATAAATTTATCAAATGTTAATTGTAGTATTCATGTTAATATAAACAATCACAATTTTTTTGATTCACATTATTTAACTATTAGTTAATCGTTACTTCATCATTATAACTACTAACTAATAATATAAGAAATTATGTATAAATTTTAATCGGAATAAAAAATATAATTAAAAAAATAACAAACAAATAAAAAATATTAATTAATTAAATACTTTATCTTCAAAAAGCCACCTTTATGATTAGAATTTGGGACTCCTGCTTAGAGATCTTAAATTCAAACCCTAAAATGATATTTATGAGATGAAACAGTGTTACTTCCCATTGTGTAGCCTAATATCACATGTACACATTTACTTGATGATTTATTTTATGATACAATATACTGACTTATAACATGATTTAATATATTTTTATATAAATGCAGCTTGAAATGTGCGAAACTTTTGTTAAGATATAACTTTACTTGAATTTCTTAAGTTGTAGTTCAATTTTACTTGGATAGCAATATTAGAATTAGCAATATCATTCATCTGTTAAGTACTGGCAATTGTTACTGCTGCAGCTAAGTGAATTTTACCACAACAAAAAGATAAAAATTCCTATGAAAACATTTTTCAAACTCAGTAAGAAACTGGAATAGCAGAACATTTAATCTCAATACTTTCCAAAGATTAGCCTGATGAGCATTTACCTCCCCCCCCCCCCCCCAAAAAAAAAAAGCTTTAGCAATTCAGGCCAAGATGCCAGATAGATTTTGTTCTTTAGTTGCTAATATGGATAATGAGCTTTACCTAAGCACCTTGCAGGCTGGCTTGGGAGAAATACTACTCAGCACCAAAAAGCCTACTGTCATTTACATTAAACTAACGACAAACGAAATGGGGCAAAAAAGTATTACTTCCAATGATCATAATAAAATTACTAGAAGAGCTACTGGGAATGTTTCACACTATTAAAGGCTGTCATGCAACTCAGACCCACATGGAAGACAAAGCCTAGCATCACAATCTCATCAATGCAACTATAAATGACATGGTTCAAAGTGCACCAACCTCTGGGTCCAAATCAATAACTACCCCCAAAGCTTCCAATACATCAGCACTTCCACATGCAGATGAACTGGATCGGTTCCCTTGCTGCGACACAGACAATCAGACAGTCCTTATGGTAATTATAGCAGGACAACCAATTTTGATCCATAGGCCCAAAAAAGATAAAGAAAAAGATAAAATGTTTTAAATTGAGGGATTGTCAGTCACCTTGGCAACTTTTGCACCACAAGCTGCAGCCAATATTGAAGCACCTGTGGAAATATTCACCGTATTTGCCCCATCACCACCCGTTCCAACAATGTCAACCACATCATTTAACCCTTCTAACTTCCAAGCATGCTTTATCATTGCTCTCGCCAAGCCCACAACCTTGAAAAGAAAATATAATAATGTCATCGCCATTCTTCACTCAGATTCTGGCGCATTCAAAAAAAAAAAAAAAAAAGCACCCATTTGCATAAAAATCACTAATTTTCTTTAAACGTTCAATTAATATGTCAATCAATGACAAAACTTGACAGGAAAAATCTCTGACTTTTTCAATAAGAATAATTAACTTACTTCTTCAAAGGTCTCGCCTTTGGCTCTCAACAAAACAAGAAAAGCACTAATCAGAGCCTCATTAGCTTCAGTTAACAAAAATTCCAGACACGCCTCTGCCTCAGACTCCGTTAAATCCACTCGATTTATCAAAGATTCAATCAACTACAATAAAATGCAAGCCAGATTAGAGAAAAAATGCTAATATTTGATATTTCTTAAGATCCCAAACAAAATTCAAAACTTTTTTTCTTACCTCATTAAAGGAACCTATTGGTGTGCTTGGGTTTCCGTTTCCACGGACACTGCACAGAGCAGAAATAGAAGCAGAAGCAGAGCCAGAAACAACTTTGGAATTACTCTGATTTGGGAAGCGGTTAATTCTTGCAGTAATATAATCATTGCGAGGATTGAGGCCTTTGGTTAAAGGGCGGCGTAGAGTAAACGCAGACAAAGAAACTGTAGAAGACTGCTGCACAAACAATTTTCTCGCCATTGCTCTATAACCGTTGTTCACACCCGCGCCAGGATTTTAGCACTAACTGAAACAGTCTTAAAAGGGGTTTTATATAGGTTTTAGTTTTGCACCATGTTTTCCTGTTTTGTTTTGGTAACAGGCTGTAAGCTGAGAGGCCAGCTGTATTAAGTTTTGGGAATTTCAGATTTTCCTTGATTTCTTTTTTTTTTTTTTGAACGAAAAATATTTAGTGGACGTTTTGACGTAATAGTGCAATAATTAAATTTTAACCACTGTAAATTAAATCTAAATATTAATTTTAATAAAATTTATTTAGTTATAAATTTTTATTAATTTTTTTAATGACAATTATAATATTTTTTAATAATAATTATAATTATTATTATTATTTTTAATCTCATCATTCAGACATATCTTTAATTACTTGATAATTTTAAATATGTGATAAAAAATATATAAAAATAATATAATTAAAATTTTAATAAAAATATAAAAGTAAATTTAGTACAATAATTTTTATATTTTATATCATCATTAAAAAAAACTTTGCGCAAATTTTAACTCATGTTATATGTGTAAAAATAACGTGCCAGCAGCGTAACTAACTCACCTAGAAAAGTTCTTAATTATTTCGAATAGAAAAAGCAAGGTTTGATTTGATTATCTGAGGAAAAGTTTAATTCTAAATCCATCATTGAACAAAAATGACCACTTGGTCAAAAATATATAAAGGGAATAATAAGGTTTGTGTAAGGATGAGAAAAACATGAGCGGGGTTGATTTATAGTAGGAATGTCAAGGGTGAAAGAAATATTTTAGAAAATTAAAATTTGATTTAAAATTATAATATTTAGTTTAATTTAGATTGGATTGATTTTTTTATTTGATTTAAATCAAATTTAAATATTAAATGTATATATTAAATTTTAGATCAAAAAATAAAAAAAAATTTGAATCAAATCGAATTATATATATTTTTTTAGTTTTATATATATTTAAATTTTTATAAAATCAAAATAATAATTTATATCAAAATTTATTTAAATATATTAAATAATATATAAAAATAAAAAATAAAATAAAAATAATAAATTAAATTAAATCAATAAAATCTAATTCAAATTATGTGAAAATTTAATTCGAATCAAATTTTATAGATTTATAATATTATATAATATCTAAAAAAAATTAAATTAAATCTATCCAAATCTAACCGTAATCACCTTGCATCATAATTTTATTTCTAGAATTGGAGAAATTGAGGGTGATTTTGCCAGGAATTTATGTTTAAGTGGTTTTACTCCAATTGGGTTGTGAAAAGTTTTGGTCGACAACTGGACATTGAGCCACATTCATCCACCTTTCCAGTTGAAAGAGCTTTTTTTTATTTGCCTTACTCCAACCAACCACATTAAAATAAATAAATAAATAACCTGAAGCTCGTTTAAAAAAATTTTTTTTTTCAATAGTCATATATATTATATAATTTTAAATACAATAAAATAAGATAATTTAAAAGTTAATAAAAATTATATATAAATTTTATAAAAATTAAAAAATATATATTTTATATTTAATATATTAACATAAAATTAATATAATAATTTTTTATATTTTACATATATTAAACACGACATACATTCGAACAAATATACAAATTTTTATATATTAAGAGCATCACAAAATCAATTAACTTTTGTCACTTCTACTTAACTTTACGAGCATATTTGTAATTTTGTATAAATGTTATTCTTGGTTAACGCCATTTTAACAATTGACATAGTAAATTAAGGTTTCATTTATATGAATACTGGGATTGATTGCGATAAAATTAAAAATAATAATAATTATTATTATAAATATGATTGACAAAAAAAATTATTTTAACTGCAATATGAAAAATTTATGCTGACTTGATCTTATTAAAATTGACATTTAGTTTCAATTAACGATATTATATAAAGGTGTAATCGATTGAGTTCAAGGTTAATATAGTATTAAGCTTGAGTTCGAGCTCGACTCTAAATTTAAGACTCGAAACTCGACTCGAACTCGATCGAATTTTATTTTTTTAACTCAAGTTCAACTCGAAATAGAAATCGAGTTATTCAAACTCGCTCAATTAAGCTCAATTAATATGTTAAAAAAAACTTGATTCTTATATTCAACAAAATTCAATTATTTGTATTCGAATTGAAACTCGAGTTTGAGATATTTTATAAATTAAAATAATTAAAATATAAAAATTCGATTAGGTTTCTGAGTTACTCGAGCTAAGTATAAGAATACTCAAATTCGGTTCGATTAATAAGTTGAACTACTCGAGCTCAAGCTCGACTCGATAATAATCAAGTCGAATTTTGAATTTTATCAAATCGAATCCAATAACTCATAAATATTAATATATTCATTTACATCCTTAATACGATGAATTAATAAATTCAAACGGGAACTAAACCTCATAAATAAATAAAATTATAATTTGCCACAAAACCTTATTTGATGAAATTTTTTTTTAATTTGTTTTTATTTTTTTAATATAAAATAAATATTAAATATAAAAATAAAATAAAATAAAAAGCCATCGGTCAAATAAAATCTAAATTTATTCTAATAAATGAGTTTTTTAATCTTTTGATTCCTTTTTTTTAAATAGTGTTTTGGTTGAATGATCATCCAAAAAAACTGTCATTTACACATATGATAGATTTACCGTATTGGTAAATATTTAATAACCTTGCTGGCAATAATGGTTTAGATCATAAAAAGTAATTAAATCACTTATCTTGGAAAGTGATATAATTTTTATAAAAAAAAATAAAAAAATTTTATCATCAAGATAAAATGATATATAAAATTATAATAGTTAATATTACCTATTTAATATGTGAATTAAAAGTTTGATTCCTTTTAAAATTGAAATTATTTTATATTATAGATTTTTATATTTTCATACTAATATTCATTACAATAAGTTCAAAAATAATTTTTGTATTTTTTTTACTTTTTAATGTTTTATATATAATATAATGTCTTATTTTTTATTATGATTTTAATATATTAGTTTTATTTTTTAATTCAAAATTTTTTTACTTAATTTATATTATAAAATTAATTTACTTAATAAACAAGTATATTTATTAATTTAATAATTTAATTATATTTATTATAAAATAAATAAAATATTTTTTATGAATTATTATTTTTAAACAACATTTAAATCATTAATTTATATAACTATTATAATAAAAATGGTGATTTTGTACTTTTAAATATAATAATATTTGATTTTTAATATTATCAACTATAGTGATATTTAATTCTTATGATTATATAAGTTAATGGTTTAAATGTTGTTTAAAGATAATAATTCATAAAATATAGTAACATTTTATTTATTTATTTTATAATAAATATAATGAAATTATTAAATTAATAAATATACTTATTTTATAAGTAAATTAATTTTTATAATATAAATTAAGTAAATCAATTTGAATTAAAAAACTAAAACTAATATATTAAATCATAATAAAAAATAAAAACATTATATTAATAATTATTAATCAAATAAAATAATTTTAAAATATGAATAATAAGATTTTTTTAATATTAAAATTACTTCAGTAATTATATTATTATGATAATTTTAAAAATAATATCAAACATTATTTTATTATTTATTTCTGCGGGGCAAACAATTAATTTTCCGTGAACCAAATTCCAGTCCTATTATCGATGAGACTTCAAAATCTCATGGGTCCAAATTTAAATATTGAAATAATTTATCATTTAGTAGTTTTTTTCATTTAATATTTTTTTTTCATGTACTATGCTAAAATGCATAATCATTTGGCCTATTTGGTTAGCACCTAAATATGTACCCTTTTAGGCAGCCAAGCATTAAATTTGCAGGCAAAAGCGTTAATTATTGGATGTTATATAATTTTTTGCAATGGAGCCAATCATCTAATCCATCGAAAGCTTGGGTTCTCGATTTAATCGACCCGAGTGGCTTAACTAGGCAATTCAATTTCATGCCACATTTATTGTGAGACTTTTTATGTTTGATATTAAAAAAATAATAATATGATAAATACGTAACAAAATTTTATGTTCAACTGTCAAATATGTCAAATAGCTCAATTAACTTTCCAAATTAGATAAGCCATTAGTTTTTGATTCGATGCGATCGATGAATCTGATTCACTTTTGACAATATTAATTTATTGCATAGTTATATATTATATAAATATATAAAAATTAAAATTTTTAATAAAAATAAAAAAAATTTTATGTGAATGGTTTAAAATGTTGACATGTGAATGGTGTTTGATACCTAATAAATACATTTGACTTTATTTAATACATTTTTAATTTAAAATAATTCAAAATTTTAAATTGATTATGTTTATATTTTTATTATTAACCTTAAATCACTCTCAATTCAATTAATATTAAAGTATTAAAATTTTTTTAAAAATTTAATTTGATAAATTAAATCAATAAATATAAAATTAATAAATTAATAAATACTACAATTATAATTATAAAATAATTGATTCTCTAATCAATTATTTGATACATTTATATTTGATTATTTATATTTTTATTATTAATATTAAATCACTCTCAATTTAATTGATATTAAAAAGTATCAAATTTAAAAATTTTGTAATTTGAAAATTAAATCAATAAATATAGAATTAATAAATTAATAAATACTATAATTACAATTATAAAATAGTTAATTATTTAATCAATTATTTGATATATTTATGTTTGATTAAATATAGTATCCAATAATTGATGAATTTCATATGTAAATATATAAAGCAAACATAATTCAAAAAATTAAATTGATTATATTTATGTTTTTATTATTGATTTTAAATCACTCTCAATTTAATTTACATTCAAAGGATTAAAATTTTAAAAATTTTTTACTTTGAAAAATTAAATCAATCAATATATAATTAATAAATTAATAAATACTACAATTACAATTATTAAATAATTGATTCTCTAATTAATTATTTGATACATTTATATTTGATTAAATATAGTATCCATTTGAGTAATTGATGTATTTCATGATGTATTTCATGTGTAAATATATAAAGCAAATATATCAAATTAATTCTTTATAATTAAA